ACCCCAGTCCATCTAACTGACACTGGACATTGACACCCCCAAATCCATCTAACTCACAGGGGACGTTGGAACCCCAGTCCATCTGGCCCTGAGACACACCTGTGTGATAACTCAGTGTGTACCTTGTGCATGGAGGTGACACTGTGTGGCCGTGTGATGGGACCACACTCGTGGGGTGACTGTGTGAGAGGCAGATTTCACAAGTCGCCCGTGGTCTGCAGGGTGAGGGTGGCCGCCCACGGAAGTGCCAGGAAGCAGGCCCGCGGGGTTGGAGACCTGGTGCTGATCCAGGTGCTTGTACGCTGATGCTTTCTCCTTCAAAGATGGTTTGCTGTCTGTCAACACCTCGTCTTATTACAATTGCAGAATCAGAAAAAGCCAATTCAAAGTGAAAAGTCTTCAGCAAAAGCAGTGATAGGGTTCCCTCCCACGGGATGACACAGTATAGGTAAGCTCTCGCCAATGTCGCAACCCGATCCCTGTCCTCAGGGAGGTAGCTCAAGCCGCCCCTAGTCGGAGGGAGCCTGGTGGTGGCGAGCACGTGCGGCCGTCCCCGCCACCGGCCAGCCTCGTCCTGCAGGGGCTCGCCCAGGCGCGCTGACCCCCTGGACCCTGTGCCTGGACATGGGCAGCGGCGCCATCTGCGAGCCTTCCAGGGGGCGCTGGTTCCCTCTTTTGGCCGGAGAGCCTGGAGCAGGGCGCCGGTGCGGGCCCTTCGTGACCTTAGGGCCCTCGGCGGGGGAGCAGGCTGCGGGGCTGACATGCACAGCCAGTGTTTCCCGGCCTCCTTGTTTCCTTCCCCTGAACATCCCGGGTGAGAGGGAGGGTCAGGTGGGGCCCAGCGCCCCTGCCAGGGGGGCCGCCTGCTCTGGGCTCTGCCTGGGCAGGCGCCCACTGTCCTGCCCCCGTCCACTGGGACACCCCTGCCAGCCCTCCCCGTCCCGCCGGAGCCACTCGACCACGTCTGCGGCCTGTTCTGCCCGGGGCAGCCGGACATAGGGTGGGCAGCACAGAGCAGGCCCGTGCAGAGACGTGGCCCCGGCCGCAGGGACCCGCGGAGGCGGGTGGCCGAAACGAGGCTGCCGGGGAGGCAGAGCTGGACGGGACCTCCCCCCCGGGTCAGTTAGAGCGTCCCCCTGACCGCCGACCACCGTGGGCCCTCTGAGCAGACACAGGTGTGGACCTCAGGCCTCCGCCTGAACTGGCGCCCGGGACACGGAGCACAGACACGGGCAGCTGGTGAGCCCGGGGGGCTGGCGGGCTAGATGGAGGTGCAGAAACGTCAGGGCGAATGGCCCGCAGGCTCCCAGCTTTGTCTGCGGGCGCATCGGGGCGGGGTATCAGTTCGGGGTGCCGCTGCCGTGGGCCCCCGCGGTCTCTTGCTGTGGAGAGCTGGGCTGCCCGACGGGCCCCTCCCACCAGCTGCGGGAGGAGGCGGTGTTCAGAAACGTCTGTCAGCTCACGACTTCGTCTCAGAGTGATTCCACGTCAGTAAGACGGGACGCAGTGGGCGGGGCAGATGCGAGGCCCCGCGGCAGGGCCACTCCCCCGAGCCGTCCCTGCTTGGGTGGCGGGTTTCCTCCTGGTTCTCAGGGTGCGGACTGGCCGCAGTGGCACAGAGCAGGCAGGCCCTGTGAGGCAGGGGTCCCCGTGAGGCAGGGGTCCCCTTGGGGCAGGGGATTCCCGTGGGGCAGGGGTCCCCTTGGGGCAGGGGTCCCCTTGGGGCAGGGGATTCCCGTGGGGCAGGGGGTTCCCGTGGGGCAGGGGGTCCCCGTGGGGCAGGGTGTCCCCGTGGGGCAGGGGTCCCCTTGGCGCAGGGGGTTCCCATGGGGCAGGGGGTCCCCGTGGGGCAGGGGTCCCCGTGAGGCAGGGGGTCCCCGTGGGGCAGGGGCTCCTCCCCAGGCGCTCCCCGTCCAAGGACCCCATCCGAGCCCCCTTCCAGCCGGCATCCCCCCCACAGGGCCGCACACTCGCTCTGGGGGTCCCTTAAATCCTCCACTGGGCTCACACACCCTTTACATGAAGAAAACCTTCCTTACGGTGGCCTCCAGAACACACCTCCGTTCCATATGAATGTTTTTCTTTGACCACATTAAACAGATTTAACCCCTTTGGTGGTGGTTTAGTCACTAAGTCGTGTCCAACTCTTGCAGGCTCCTCTGTCCTTGGGATTCTCCAGGCAAGAATCCTGGAGTGGGTTGCCATACCCTCCTCTCCCTGTGCCTGGACATGGGCAGCGGCGCCATCTGCGAGCCTTCCAGGGGGCGCTGGTTCCCTCTTTTGGCCGGAGAGCCTGGAGCAGGGCGCCGGCCAGCCTCGTCCTGCAGGGGCTCGCCCAGGCGCGCTGACCCCCTGGACCCTGTGCCTGGAGGTGGGCAGCAGCGCCATCTGCGAGCCTTCCAGGGGGCGCTGGTTCCCTCTCTTGGCCAGAGAGCCTGGAGCAGGGCGCCGGTGCGGGCCCTTCGTGACCTTAGGGCCCTCGGCGGGGGAGCAGGCTGCAGGGCTGACACGCACAGCCAGTGTTCCCCGGCCTCCTTGTTTCCTTCCCCTGAACAGCCCGGGTGAGAGGGAGGGCCAGGTGGGGCCCAGTGCCCCTGCCAGGGGGGCCACCTGCTCTGGGCTCTGCCTGGGCAGGCGCCCACTGTCCTGCCCCCGTCCACTGGGACACCCCTGCCAGCCCTCCCCGCCCCGCCGGAGCCACTCGACCACGTCTGCGGCCTGTTCTCCCCGGGGCAGCCGGACATAGGGTGGGCAGCACAGAGCAGGCCCGTGCAGAGACGTGGCCCCGGCCGCAGGGGCCCGCGGAGGCGGGTGGCCGAAACGAGGCTGCCGGGGAGGCAGAGCTGGACGGGGCCTCCCCCCCGGGTCAGTTAGAGCGTCCCCCTGACCACCGACCACCGTGGGCCCTCTGAGCAGACACAGGTGTGGACCTCAGGCCTCTGCCTGAACTGGCACCCGGGACACAGAGCACAGACACGGGCAGCTGGTGAGCCCGGGGGGCTGGCGGGCTAGATGGAGGTGCAGAAACATCGGGGCGAATGGCCCGCAGGCTCCCAGCTTTGTCTGCGGGCGCATCCGGGGCGGGGTATCAGTCCGGGGCGCCGCCGCCGTGGGCCCCCGCGGTCTCTTGCTGTGGAGAGCTGGGCTGCCCGACGGGCCCCTCCCACCAGCCGCGGGAGAAGGCGGTGTTCAGAAACGTCTGTCAGCTCACGACTTGGTCTCAGAGTGATTCCACGTCTATAAGACGGCACGCAGTGGGCGGGGCAGATGCGAGGCCCCGCCGCAGGGCCACTCCCCCGAGCCGTCCCTGCTTGGGTGGCGGGTTTCCTCCTGGTTCTCAGGGTGCGGACTGGCCGCAGTGGCACCGAGCACTTAAGTGGTCCCTTAAATCCTCCACTGGGCTCACACACCCCTTACATGAAGAAAACCTTCCTTACGGCGGCCTCCAGAACACACCTCCGTTCCGTATGAATGTTTTTCTTTGACCACATTAAACAGATTTAACCCCTTTGGTGGCGGTTTAGTCACTAAGTCGTGTCCAACTCTTGCAGGCTCCTCTGTCCTTGGGATTCTCCAGGCAAGAATCCTGGAGTGGGTTGCCATACCCTCCTCCAGGGGATCTTCCCCACCCAGGAATTGAGCCCGGGTCTCCTGCACTGCAGGCAGATTCTTTACCACTGAGCCGCCAGGGAAGCCCCTTTGGCAGTTGGGAAGGCAGCACATGGGGCAGTGTGTCCACCTGGGCGTGGTGCTCCTCGCCCTCTGAAAGCCCACTTGGGTAGAAGATGCGTTCTTTCCTCTCCCTTTCGAATGCTCTTTTCTCCTCTGTCCCACTCTCTAGCGACTTTCCCCCAGAAGCTATGCAGCATCACAGGCCCCCTGCTGCCCACTCTCCTGTGGGGACCCTCAGAGCCGCCGCAGTGCTGGCCCTGAGCCCCGGGCCCACGGGCACCGCTCTGTCAGGTCCTGAGTGGGTGGGAACGGAGCGGGGTTAACAGCCCCCCACACCTCGCTCCCCATCCAGCAATAGCCGGGACCCTGGATGTAGGGGAAGACCAGGCCACCAGCTGGCTGTGCCTCTGCGGCAGGTCCCCGACAGAGACTGGAGCCCCTGGGGGGTGAGGACAGCCGCTCCCAGGTGGGCAGGACCAGCTTTCCCCCGGGTCTGTGTGGTGAAGGAATGGCTGAACCATTTCATCATTTTAAGAATCTCCCCCCAGATCACTCATAGACCCCTTGGTCACTGATTTTGGAGGAATCTAGTGAGGGCTGTCTGTTCCTCCTTAACTTTTAAAACCCAATTTCCAGACTCCGTTTTTGCTCCCTTCTGAAAAGAAAGTTGGAAACCAGGGGACAAGCGACCAGGAGGTCAGAGATCACTTACATTAGAAGACGCTGCCCATGATGAGCGTTAGCACCTGCCTGGCAAGGAGATCTGCTCCTCGGAGTCATTCCTGTGTTAATGCCGCTGTCTGGGAGAACGTCCCTCCTCTGAACCAGCCCCTTGATTTCTCTGCCCAGGACCCTCGGATCAGAGGCCGAGTGTCCACCCCCGCCGGGCCCGTCCAAGGCGACAGTGAATGAGACGTGCATTTGAAGAAAAATGAAGGGAACGCATCGCCAGCTGAGACACTTTGTAACCAGTGCGGTGCGTCATCAAAGTGCGAGAAGGCCAAGGCGCTGGTTCAGGCCTGTTCCTGCCTCACGGCGAACACGCTGCGGGCCATCCTGGGGGGTGTGTCGCTGTCTGCGGTGCTGAGTTTAGGAGCCCTGGGGCGCCTGACACCCCAGAGACCCAGGAGTCCATGATGGAGTGCGTGTGTGAGCACAGCCTGAGACACCGTGCGGAGCGTGGGCATGAGCGTGCAAACACAAGTGCAGGCGTGTGCGAGCGTGCGAGCAGGGTGCAGGCCCGCGGAATGGACAGGAGAGCGTGTCCGCGCCTGTCCCAGAGTCCCCCTGGCTCAGATGGGGCTCCCGCCCTCATGCACGTAGCGTATTCAGGGGGCCGGGGGCCCCCTCGGGGAGCCGCACAGAGGCCGCGGTGGTCTGCCTGCGTCCGGCTCGGGGTGACGGTGGCCGCCCTTGCCCTCCCGGACCACCAGGGGCACCCTGCTCGCCATCACATCTGGCTTGCGTCCCTTGGCATGGGCAGAGGGAGGCTGGCGCTCTCAGGCGTGAGGGCCCCTGGGCCCAGGTGCCCCGCGGGGGCAGCGTCTCCGGGTCCCACCCTCCCGTCCTCACCAGCCGGCCGCACACCATCACAGGTGGGGGCTTCCCGCGCTGTCCCCTGCAGCAGCCGGCAGGGCGAAACCTACCCCGCGAAGCCGTGGCGCACGGCGCGGCTGGGTGGAGCCGGGTCGGCGGGGCCTCTGCTGTGCTGAGTGTCTTTCCACAGGAGCAGCGGTGCGTGAGCGATGAGTAGGCCTTTCCTCTTTGGTAGGCAGGGACTTATCACACAGACTCACCAAGCCGGGACCGGGCGGGCGGGCGGTTGGGGGTTCGGGTTGGGTTGGGGCCCGGGCCTTTCCCCCACCGGGGGTGCTGCTGAATCCTGTGAGGGAAGGAGCCCAGCAGGGTGTGCGGGGGGCGGAGAGCAGGAGGCCAGGATGCAGGTGCGTGGCCTGTGGGCGCTGGGGGCACCCGGGGAGAAGGCCTCGGGGCCAGTTCACTGTCCCCAGAGGACGCAGAGCGGCAGGAGCTTCTGGAGTGGTCAGCTCCGGGCCCCGCGGGGTGAGTCATGCAGGTAGGTCAGGGCTGCTGCCTGGTTCCTTTTGCTGGTTGAGCGAGAGGACACGTGTGTGCAGTGGTGCCCTGGGTGGTGACCGTGGGGTGTGGAGCAGGGCTCTGCTCCGTGACTTGTGGTTTTTCTTTCATTCAAAGACGACAGGAATAGAAGCATGGTTGCTGCAAAACACGCGTGACTCATGAAAACCTGCCTTCTGGGAGGTTCCGCTCTTCAGAACGATTCTGTGCAGTTTTCACCGTGACTCTTCTCAGGCCAGTTAAGCTGTGGTTTGCGTGGACAGTCTTCCCAGGGATGCGCTTGCTCCAGGTCTGGGCACCCGCTGGGGCATTCACAGGGGCCCGTGTCCTCGGCGCGCTAACTCCTGGGCCCCAGTGGTGCCCAAGCACCAAGAGTCTGCCCGGAAGCCAGGAGCCGCCGGGCTGTGCGGGGAAGCCTGAGCCCGGGCGCTCAGGGCTCAGCTGCAGGTTGAGCACCAGGCCTGCCAGTGCAGCTGTCTGAGAGCCTCCGTGAGCAGGCACGGAGATGGGCCAGCGTCCACCAGGGAGGCCGAGGGCCGTGGCAGCTGAGACAGTGGCCGGGAGGTGGCGGGGGCAGCAGGCTGAGGATGAGGAGGTGGGCAGGCAGCACCAGTCCTGGGAGCGGCCGGGTCCCGGGTAGGGCGTTTTGGGGGGGGGCTGGTGGTGGGCTGGCAGGATGTTGGGGCCCTGGAAAGAGGGCGTGGTGGCTGGGCACCCACCCTGCCTGCTTCATCCACCCCGACCCCCAGCGCAGCCTCCCTTGTTTGCTCTGGCTCAGGGGCGTCTAGGCGCCTGGTGTCCTCCGTAGCTTCGCCCCTCATCCCGGCTCCCCTTCCGGCTCTGCCTCCACCCCCGGGGCCTCCTGGTGCTGCCATCACAGCAGGCTGGGGTCCCCATGCTGGGCGCTGGCAGGCAGGACACTCCAGCCCCCTCCCTGGGGCTGCGGCGACGTGTCTGGTCATCGCCTGTATCCCTTGTCCTCCTCCCAGACGGAAGGCCTCCTGGGAGGGAAGGAAGCCGCCCGTCTGCCGCAGTCCACCAAGCAGGTTCTGGGGTGTGCGGCCCCCAGGCTCAGAGAGCTTGGTGGGCACGTGGAGCGTGGAGCGGGTGCAGAGCCCTTGTTCCGCATTGTCAGCGATGTGTCTGGGGGTCCCACCCCGGCCGGGGACCCCCGCCCTCCCCGGCCTGGCTGTAGGCGGATCACCCACCCCTCTGCTGACTCAGGAGGGTTGAGGTTAAGGTAGAACCATGCCTCGCTGAGTGGAGACCACCTTCCCCCACGCCCGAGGAGGACAGGGCACAGCGGTGACGGGGCGAGGAGTCCTCTCGGGGAAGCCCGCCCCTGTCCAGCAGGCGCAGGGGCCCTCGAGGTGGGCACTACCACTCCCCGCCGTGTCCCGGTGTGCGGTGTCGGCGGGCTTGCTGTCGTTACTGCGGGGACAGTGTGGGGAGTGTGCCTCCCGGGGAGTTCCAGGTGGACTCAGCGACCAGTGCGGTCAGGAGGAGAGGCAGCGTCAGGACCGTGGGGTTGGGTTCTGCCCCGGGTCTGGACTTAACTGTCTGTGTCAGCATTGCCAACTAGTTGTGCAGTGATTAGGAGCTGCTTGCCCCACGGGTCGCTCCAGCCCCGAGTTACAGAATGGGGGGTGTCTGCTAGGCAACCCCTGGAACCCCTTCCGATGGGAGAAGGCTCGTGTCCCAGGCGTGTCCACAGTCTGCTCTGCCTCCCTGGCCTCCCTGGCGGTCCGCGCGCCTCGGGCCTCCCTCTCTCTCTCTTTCTCATGAGCGTCCGCACGACTGACCCAGGCCGGCCCCACTGGGGATTCGGGTTGCCTCCCCACCATTTGTCTGCACAGCCACGGCCTTTCCCACTGGAAGATGGAAGAGTGGAAATCTGAAGAATGTAAACATCTTTCCAGTTTCCTTTTTTTAAAAATAAGAGCAATTATTTCTGCAGCCACTTGGAGCCGCCTGACACGGAGGCTGGCTCAGCTTCCCTTGTTCTCCGCATCTTCACTAGAAATAGACGTGGGTGCTGCAATCCAGGCTTCCAGAAAGCCTCTTGCCTAGGCGGATCTGCACCCGGAGCTATGCGTTAGGGTGGTTTCAGCGTGAGCCGCTGGTGGCTGTCGGGGTTGGTGCACGAGTGTGGGCCCGGCACCGGGGGTTCGACAGGAGGCCCTTTGGTTCTGAACATGGGCGGTGTGCTCGGAAGTCGCCCCGCGGGGCTCATCTCTCCTGCTTCTCCTCGCGGCTCCTGCCTGCGCTGCTGAGAGGGAAGGGCGGCCCTGGTTACCTCCTCGGGGCTTCCTCTACTTAAGCCGAACGTCTGGAGGCTTGTGTGCAGCACTGGACACCTTTCCTGGGCACCCAACACCCCACCTCCAGAGCCCAGGCCAGTCCCCTTGTGGTGGTCTGGGTTGGGGTGAGGATTAGGGTCATCTCAGCCTCTCTGCTGCGCCTTGCACTCCACTGATGAGTCTGATTTAATAGGCATCATTGCAATGATAGCTCAGCTGGTAAAGAATCTGCCTGCAGTGCAGGAGACCCTGGTTTCATTCCTGGGTCAGGAAGATCCGCTGGAGAAGGGATAGGCTACGCACTCCAGTATTCTGGGCTGGAGAATTCCCTGGACTGTATGGCCCTTGGGGTCGCAAAGAGTCAGACGTGACCAAGCGTCTGCCACTCACTCAGCCCTGAGTCCTGCCACAGGGTCATCCTCGGCACTGGCTGAGCCCTCCTCCCGGCCCCTGATGTCTGTTCTCCCCTTGGGGCTGCGAGTGATTTAAACCTGGCCCCTGGTTAGCGGGAACTGGAGAGACCCGGAGTTGGAGACCTCTTTGCTTTCTGTTTTCCGGTTTCTGCAGAGGTGCTGCGTCTGGGGGGCGGGCTGAGGGCAGACACGGATGACAGGGTCACGGGAGCTCCCAGCCCCGCCCCCCATTCTGTGCTTCACGCTTCATCCTGCGAAGTGCTCCCTAGATGCATCAGCTTCATCATTCCTCTCCTGTTTCCTGTGCCACTCAATCACTTTTTATTTAACCGAAGACTGCTTTGGACATTTCACGAGCTGTTGGCTTATAAAACCTTGTAACAGAGATAAAGCGTTTCGAACATTTTCTGATCTTAAGGACCCCATAGGGTGCTTTGGGGTTAGTTAACTATGGAGGCTGTGTTCGTGGTGGTGCAGGCGCGGTGCTAGTGGCCGGTCTGTCCCCGTCCCGAGCCCTACCCCGCCGCCCAGCTCTGGCCCGATCCCTCGCCCCCAGGTGCTCGGCGAACCTTCCAGTGAAAGAAGTAAGGTGACCTCATAGGTTCCACGGAGGCTGCGCTGGCCTGCTGTGCGTTCTGCTGGGGGCACGTGTCTTCTCAGCTCACGTGCCCAGCTTCAGGATCTCTTGGCATCTTTCATTGCATCTTTCTTTCAGTTCAGTTCAGTCGCTCAGTCGTGTCCAACTCTTTGCGACTCCATGGACTGCAGCACGCCAGGCCTCCCTGTCCTTCTCCAACTCCTAGAGTTTACTCAAACTCACGTCCATTGAGTCAGTGGTGCCATCCAACCATCTCATCCCCTGTCGTCCCCTTCTCCTCCTGTCTTCAACCTTTCCCTGCATCAGGGTCTTTTTCAATGAGTCATCTATTCCCATCAGGTGGCCACAGTATTGGAGTTTCAGCTTCAGAATCAGTCCTTCCAATGAATATTCAGGACTGATTTCCTTTAGACTTGCTTCTGTTGACTTGACTTTCCAGGAAGCTTCTAACAAGTGCTATCTATACAGGAAGCCCCCAAACCGTGTGATGAGTGAGAGCTTTGCAAGATGGAAGCATTAATAAAGGAGCTAGTAGAAGTCTGTTAGTCGCTCAGTCGTGTCCGACTCTTTGTGACCCTGTGGACTGTAGCCCACCAGGCTCTTCTGTCCATGGGATTCTCCAGGCAAGAATGCTGGCGTGGGTAGCCATTTCCTTCTCCAGGGGATCTTCCCGACCCAGGGATCGAATACTTGTCTCCTG